ACAAGGGGACAACAGAGAATGAGGCGGCTGGAGTCACTGAAGCAGTAGGTGTGAGCTTAAATGGACTTCAGAAGATGGTAGAGGGCAGGAAGACCTGGAGGAACGTTGTCCATGGGGTTGCGATGGATTGGACATGACTTTGCAACTAACAACAACAACAAACTTTCTCACAGGAAAGACTGTTAGTAAAACCATTGTCGATATTTAAATGAGGCCACAATCTAATAACAACCAACAGCATTCCTTCTTCCTGCAATAATCTGACCATTGTACTAGTCCTTGCCCATTAATATCCCAGCAAACATTTTCTCATTCCACCTGTCCCTGTAATTTTTAAATATCTTTTCTGCTTATTAGACAATAAGCACTTTGCTTAGAAATTAATTTCCAAGTTGCTTGTGTGGCATAGAATGTTGGTCTCTTATTAAAATGTATTAGGAAATTCTAAGCAGGCACTGGCAAAGTACTTCTAAAATATTTGGGAGAACCACAGTACAACTTACTATAAATACATAAATTTAGAATTAAATATGAATGGGATGGGTTGGAATAAGATTATAGTATTAACATAATCTAATAAAACATGCTTTCATCACAGAAATGCTTATGCTACGCTAATGAAGTTTAATGTTAACATGCAAAGAAAGGTGTCAGTGAAAGAATCAAGTGAACAAAAATGGGTGTTAGCACATTAACCTACCAAAATATTTAATTATTTATTTTATTCTTTAAATTCTTCATTTATATCCTTTACTATTTTTACAAATGCAAGAAGTCAAGGTGGCAAACATCCCCATACTAGTTTGGTATAAGCTGCCATCAAGTTATAAAAGATAGAAAAAAAAATAAAGATTTGTAAATAAATGAAATTTTGGGTTGGTTAAATTGTAGGGCTGGAAAGGTCTGCTTAGGACATTCCCTCTCTTCTGTGCAGCATTCCATAGTAAACATCCCAGAAAGGTACTAGCTAGCCTCTGCTTGAACATATCCAGTAAAGGAAAGACCACCATCACTCTGCATAATTGATTCCTATTGTTCGTTAAGAATTTATATTTCTATAACAAGATGAATATACAGTAGAGGTGACAAATAGATTTAAGGAATTAGATCTGATAGACAGAGTGCCTGAAGAACTATGGACGGAGGTTCGCAACATTGTACAAGAGATAGCAACTAAAATCATCCCAAAGAAAAAGAAATGCAAGAAAGCAAAATGGCTGTCTGAGGAAGCTTTGCAAATAGCTGAGGAAAAAAGAGAGGCAAAAGGCAAGAGAGAAAGAGAAAGATACACCCAATTGAATGAAGAATTCCAGAGAGTAGCTAGAAGAGATAAGAATGCCATCTTAAACGAACAGTGCAAAGAAATAGAAGAAAACAATAGAATAGGGAGAACCAGAGATCTCTTCAAGAAAATTGGAGACATGAAGGGAATGTTTCATGCAAAGATGGGCATGATAAAAGGACCAAAATGGCAGGGACCTAACAGAGACAGAAGAGATTAAGAAGAGGTGGCAAAATTACACAGAAGAACTATACAAGAATGAGCTTAGCATCCCTGATAACCACAATGGGGTGATCACTGACTTCGAGCCAGACATCCTAGAATGTGAAGTGAAATGAGCTTTAGGAAAGCTGAGCAACAAAAGAGCTAGTGGAGGTGACGGTATTCCAGCTGATCTATTCAAAATCTTAAAAGACGATGCAGTAAAAGTGCTATACTCAATTTGCCAGCAAATTTGGAAAACTCAACAGTGGCCACAGGATTGCAAAAGATCAGTTTACATTCCATTTCCAAAGAAAGGCAATGCCAAAGAATGTTCAAACTATCGCACCATTGCACTCATTTCACATAGTAAAATTATGATTAGAAAGTTATGCTTAAAATCCTACAAGCTAGACTCCAGCAGTATGTGGATCGAGAACTACCAGAAGTATAGGCAGGATTTTGAAGAGGCAGAGGAACTAGAGATCAAATTGCCAACATACGCTGAATCATGGAGAAAGCTAGGGAGTTCCAGAAAAACATCTACTTCTGCTTCATTGACTATGCTAAAGCCTTTGATTGTGTGGATCACAACAAATAGTGGCAAGTTCTTAAAGAGATGGGAGTACCAGACCATCTTATTTGTCTCTTGAGAAACCTATATGCGGGTCAAGAAGCAACAGTGAGAACTGGACACGGAACCACTGATTGATTCAAAATTGTGAAAGGAGTCTGGCAAGGCTGTATTCTGTCACCCTGCCTATTTAATTTATATGCAGAGCACATCATGAGAAAGGCAAGGCTAGATGAATCAAAAGTTGGAATTAAGATTGCCGGGAGAAATATCAACAGCCCAAGATATGCAGATGATACCACTCTAATGCCAGAAAGTGAAGAGGAACTAAAGAGCCTCTTGATGCAGGTGAAGAAGGAGAGTGCAAAAGTTGGCTTGAAACTAAACCAAGATCATGGCATCCGGCCCTCTCAATTCCTGGCAAATAGATGGGGAAGAAATGGAGGTAGTGACAGATGTTATCTTCCTGGGCTCCAAGATCACCTCATATAGGGACTGCAGCCAAGAAATTAAAAGATACTTGCTCCTGGGGAGGAAAGCTATAGCAAATCTAGACAGCATACTAAAAAGCAGAGACATCACCCTGCCAACAAAAGTATGTATAGTCAAGGCCATGGTTTTCCCACTTGCAATGTATGACTGTGAAAGTTGGACCATAAGAAAGGTTGAGCGCCAAAGAATTGAGGCCTTTGAACTATGGTGCTGGAGAAGACTCCTGCGAGTCCCCTGAATTGCAAGGTGATCAAACTGGTCAGAGGAGATCAACCCTGACTGCTCTTTAGAAGGCCAGATCCTGAAGTTGAAACTCAAGTACTTTGGCCACCTAATGAGATGGAAGGACTCACTGGAGAATAGCCTAATGCTGGGAAAGATTGAGGGCAATAGAAGAAGGGGACAACAGAGTTTCAGGTGGTTGGATGGAGTCACTGAAGCAGTAGGTGTGAACTTAAATGGGCTCCAGAAGATGGTAGAGGACAGGAAGGCCTGGAGGAATGTTGTCCATGGGATTGTGATGGGTTTGACACGACTTCGCAACTAACAACAATAAACAAGACTACCATTTCATGTGCTGGGAAGGACATGAGGGAGAAGAGGTATTGATCTCTGTGACTTCCTTTCAGGTACTTGGATAGTACTGTCATTTCTTTCCCAGTCTACTTTTCTCAGGACTAGAACTACTTCCCTCCTTCACTTTTTCATTATAAAACTTAGTTTCTAATCCCCTTCTGACTTTGTTGCCATTTTCTAATCTGTTGGAATTCTTGCTTTTAGCATAAAGTAATGTAAGTAGTATAAAGTGGAATGATTACTTACTGTGATTTGGAAATTACACTTGGGAGAATCAATTCTCACAAGAAACAAAAAGGCTGGAACCACATTTGCCTACTCAAAAACAAGGATCAATGAAAATCACATAAACCATTTCAAAAGAGAGTAGCATTAAACCTTATTTGAGGTGTGGTAGCGCAATTGTTAAAAATGCAGTATGGTAGACTAATTGTGCTGACTGCCAGCAGTTTGATTCTGACTGGCAAGGTCAGTAAATAAGGACCCAGATTTTTGGGGCAATATGCTGACTCTGCAAACTGCTTAAAGAGGGCTGTAAAGCACTGTGAAAGGGTATATAAGTTTAGGTGCTATTGCTATTGTACAAAATCCTTTTTAAATACAAAAAGGACAAGAATTTAAACTCTGATTTCATTATAAATGGGACCAGCATTTGATAACAGTAATTCCTGAAATATTTTTCTAACAGCTTCATTAATTTTTGTATAATAAATTCAGTTATCAGAACTTGGTATCCATGAATACCTGTTTGTATTTGCTTTTTGTCTAGAGTTGTTGAGAAGAGACTACAGTGCTTCTGTTGACACAGTCTAAAATTGCATTTCTATTCTTTGCTATCATATCATACCCTTTTTTTTGTTTTATAATCAACCACTGTTCTAATTCTTCTACAAAAACAGGAAGGTCCCAACTTACAGTATAGCTGTACATTTGAATGTTCCTAAGTGAAAAATTTTGCAGTTGTCTTATTAATTTTTTTTCTTTTTTACTTTCAATCCATTTCTCCAACCTATCAAAATTTGTTTTGAACTACATTACTATCTTCTAAAGCACCGATTCCCAACCTGTATCCATGGTCCCCTTGGGGGAGGGTCTGCAAAGGGTTGGAGAAATGTTATTTAAATCTTGAGTTAAGTCTTGGTGGTCTATGACACACAAAAGGTATTTAAAGAGCGTCTGTGGTAAAGAAAGGGATGAGAACCACTGTTCTATAGTATTAGTGGTCACCTACAATTCTATATAATCTGCACATTTGATAAGCATTTTCTCTATTTTTTTCATCCAAATCATTAATGAAATTATTGAAAATTAGAGAACCCAAGATTGACAATTGTAATAGCCTATATTCTTTCAGTTGATAACTGGAACCATTGATGAGTACTCGTTGAGTCTGAATTTTGAGCTACTGTGTATCCATATCTATCAGGGTGTTCATTTTATACTTAACTACAGTGTGATAAACACATCATGAGGTAGTTTGTCAAATATTTTGCTGATGTCCAGGTATACATTTCTCACAAACCATTGAGGAAATTTTCTGATTAAAAATGAATTATGGGTAAGATTTGTTCTTGATAAATCCAAGCTAAATTCTGGTAATTATCACATTATTCTCAATCTGTTTATTAAAATGGATACAATGGTAACATTATGGGCTAAAAACTGGCCTTGTGTAGTTTATTATAGGGTGTAATCATAACCTTCTCAAAAACCCCATAATAAAATGAATTGCTGACTAGGAAACATAGAGTGTATGTTCTCATATACGTTACATATCTCTCATCTCTAATTTTTCTGAATTTTCATCTAATATATTTTTGCTTTCATAAATATGTTGACTAAATCATTTTAAAAGTCTTTTTTTTTTACTGTTAGGTTTATCATCTGGACATTGCTAAGACAATGATGGATATCAAACAAATGATCAACAATTTCCACTGGTTCTACTGGCAATTTCAACTGATTACAATGACACATATGATGGATTCCTTTGAATGGTGGCTTTTCCACTCCCTTTTGTTTTTTACAGTGATGCTGGTAGTATTTATTTTTTATGTCATTGTGCCTGTGCAAATCCACTTGGCTCTAGAGACTGTTTGTCATATATTTGGTTTACAGTGCAAAAGTAACAGACCAGCCATCATATGAATTTTCTACATCTCACAGGGACTGTGTGATTGTGTGGATAGTTTTTTCTGGCTTATATTGTTGAGTTTTCAAAGCAACTTTTGGAGACTTTCTGGGATATACAAATTATTATTATTTTTTGGGATCCATGAAAGAAGTCTTGAAAAAAAATCACAACAATTGCATCCAGCAAGTGCCCAAACACTGCTTATCTGTATGTGTAACCTATTTGATAAGTGGCATGTCATATACAAATTTTAATTTTTCCAAAGAAGCTTATCTCTTATATTTTTAGATTGTTTAGGAGCTTCATCAGATGTTCATTTCCTATTATTTTTATATACTTGTTATTATTAGACTTTTATTGCAATTTATTATGTAGAAATAACTCTGTAACAAACTGTAAAATAATAATAAAATTGAAAAAGTAAAAAGGCCAATGAAAAAAGTTTTGTCTGTCGTATATCACAAAATGTTTAAATTCTGCATTACTGAATATAAATAAACCAGGATTAGGAATTAATACTTTGCCTATATTTTAAATATTATCCCTCTTCTGAGGGAATATGTATAGTTTAATATAATTACAATATCTGTATAGTTTAATTAGTTCTGTTGTATATCAGCACAGACTGGAGAGGCCTGGTTTTGTGTGCTGTCTGCATTCCGTTGATGGGGCTTTGCTTGTTTGCTCAGCCCAGTTTCTGGCATGCTGCAGACCAGTGCCAGTCCATGGATCGGGGGTTGGGGACCCTTTCTGTACACAATACCGGCCTTGCAACAGGTTCACAAGCACTCAATAGCAGTGGAGAAACATTTCAATGTTAATTTGTATTAGTTGCATACTCAGAAATCACATATTATATTTAAGTATATATAAAAGCCTGATATTTTCCAGGCTATCAATAAGAATTTAGAAAATATCTTATTTTATCAACCAAGTCCATGACTTTTAGAACATCATGGAATGATTTTCCATCCTATTATTACTCTTATAAACTCTACTTGCTTGGTTTTCTGATCTTCTCATTATATCAAAGTTAACCTCATAAGTGTTTTAACTTGCAATTATAAATGAAGCGTTTGACATGGTCACGACGATGTAAAAAAGACTCTAGAAAGAGTACAGAGAAAAGCAACAAAGATGATTAGGGGACTGGAGCCTAAAGCATATAAGGAAAGGTTGCTGGAATTGGGTACGTCTAGTTTAATGAAGAGAAGGACAAGGGGGGACATGATAGCAGTATTCCAATATCTCAGGGGCTGCCACAAAGAAGAGGGAGTCAAGCTATTTTCCAAGCACCTGAAGGCAGGACAAGAAGCAACGGATGGAAGCTAATCAAGGAGAGAAGCAACCTAAAACTAAGGAGAAACTTCCTGATAGTTAGAACAATTAACCAGTGGAACAACCTGCTTCCATAAGTGGTCAATGCTCCAACACTGGAAATTTTTAAGAAGAGACAGGACAGCCATTTGTCTGAAATGGTGTAGGGTTTCCTGCCTGAGCAGGGGGTTGGACTAGATGACCTCCAAGGTCCCTTCCAACTTTATTATTATTATTATAGTCCACTAGTAAAGATCAAAAGTCATTGCACTTTATCTGTCTTCTTCATCCTTGCTACATATGAAAAAACTTGCAGTTCAGGCCTACATCTTGGAAGTGTATTATTTAGTATATTCCAAGACCTACGAGTGTATACTGTCTTAATTCAGTTTCCATTCAATCCTCATTCCCAGCAACATCTTGCAATGATTAAATAGTATTGCATTACATAGATTCATTGTTTTGTATGACAAATTAAGTGATTTACATAGCAAAAATGTACTGGGCATGTTTGCACACAATTATGTCGGAACTCGTGTATTATGAATTGTTTGCTGCTGTGTGCAAATTTTTGCTCTTCTACTTACCCCGAGCTGAAGTGGTTAAGTTAATCCAATAAAAATAACTTACTGTGTCATCCAAACTGGGAGCTCTCACTCTTCCTAGCTTGAAGCAATCAAGGAAAGGCAAGTGAACAAACCTTATTTGTGATTTTGCATCAGATGGAGCACATGTGGTTGAATCAACATTAAAAGCTTTTTTCTTAGTTTTGAAGTCAAGTGGAATAAAAGAACTGCTAGTGTCTGCCCCAGTGTGTACAAATCAAGAAATCAACTCTACAAGAAGACTGCAACTACTTTTAATATTAGCTACAGTAACAGAATCTTGCAGGTGTCCCGCTTATTATCATATAAATTAGGGAAATACCTGCCTGATTTGTTTTTGCATATTGTCTGCTTGTTTGGGATTTAAGCCATGTATTTCCCCTTATGGTTTTGGTAACAGATCAGCTACTCTCTGAAGCTAATACTTTACTTGTGAATGATACAGGACTTTCTGATGTTTTCTACAGCTATTATGTTTTTTCATATTTGAATATATTGAAATAATGTGGCAATGGGTAAAAGTACATATGCTAAAAGTTGTATGTATGCCAACTAACACAAAGACTTGGCTAGATTCATATAGATAGCCCTTGACTTACAACCATTTGTTTAGTAACTATTTGAAGTTACAATGGCTCTGATAATAGTGACTTATGACCGGTTTTCACACTTGTGACTGTTGCAGCATCCCCGTGGTCACATGAACAAAATTTGAGCGCTTGGCAACTAATATGTATTTATGGCAGTTGCACTGTCCCAGGGTCATGTGATCATCATTTGTAACTTCCCAGCTGGCTGCCGACAAGTTAAGTCAGTGGGGAAAGCTGGATTCACGTAAAGACCATGTGATTCACTTAACAATTGCAATGATTTGCTTAACAACTGTGGCCAGAAAGATTGTAAAATAGGGCATAAGTCACTAACAAATTTCAAGTACAAATTTAATCAATGGATTTATAATAATTGTATGTACGAATTATGCATTTATTTTATAGATCAAACATATGTCTATAAGCGAATTAAATTATAGATAATATAAATATAAAAATTACACACACACACACATATATATATAATTCAATTTTCACCAAAATAACTAGATTTTTTTTTTAAAATGGATTTTACTTCCCTGTTACTGAAAATTTTATGGAGATTTTATATCTGTAGCTCACATGACAAGTTCACATTTAGCTCTAAGCCAAATTCTTATGACTGAAGACAATGTATGAATTGTCTTGGCTTCGCTACAGAAAATTGTATGCAGCACCTGCCTTCCGATTGTGTTTAGCATAACAAAAAGTCAAAGTATCATAACAAATTGGGAGAAAACAGAATCAATGTATTTGAATGATAATTTGTCTGCTGGTATATATTTTTATAAACAGGAGAATGGCCATAATTCAGAGTTAAAAATGTAAAAATAAGGTCCAGAATTGAGACCCTGCCACAGGATAGTGGGAAACATAACTTACTGAAGTTCTTGAGAACTACTGAGATAGAACCACTTATTGATCTGATTTTGAAAAAGGTTGTCACATTAAATGAGTGAATAAAATAACATACAGATCTGGCAAGTGCCTCATCTAAACAGTCCATTAGAATCCTTTAGGACACAGGTCCCAACCATGGGATACTACCGGGCCGTGGCCTGTTTGGAAGTGGGATGCACGAGCGGCTGGCTGTATGAGCAGTAGATTGGCACACACGTATGCAGCTTGACTTGTGTGAGCTGTGGGCCAGCATGTACACACACGTGCCGGCCCACTGCTTGCGTAGGCCATTTCCCCTCTCCCCCTCCGCGGCCAGGCCTCGAAGCCCTAAGAATGCTATTCTAGAATTTTCTGAGATGCCACACTAAGTACTGGGAAGTTTGTCAAGCAGAATAGTTATCCTAAAAAACTTGTCCATAAAGAAGAATAAATGAGACTAAATTATACTGATACTAAATTTATTTCTTCTTTCTTCTTTCATTATTTTTTTGTCCAGAATTATCAGGGAAAGGAATTATCCAATATAATATACATGACAATTGTAATTCTATTGCAAACTGTATGAGATTTTGTAGGGCTGGAATCAGAATCAATAAAGGAGATGGAATGAGAATTGTTGACATTCAACCAAACGGCTGACAAACATGTTTTGGATTGAAAGATTGTTTCCATCAAATGAAACTTAGAGCAAAAATCAAGAATTGCTTCAAGTCTGGATGTCAATAGAAATCTATGGTATTCATTTGAGAGAATAATGACGTAGGTTCTTTTTTAAACCATGTCCAATTAGTTTGACCCAGATTCAAGAGAAACACAAAAGCCCTGGATCCTGGATGGGTGTTGCTTATCTCTCTATAAAGATTGGGGAGAGGTTTATATTGACAATGTTTATACTATTACTTATTACTCTACTACTTATTAGTCTATTACAATAAACTATATACTATGCTGTACTGCTATTATCCTAGTGTAGTACATTAGAGTATATTATGCTCTGTGCTATGCTCTTAGCACATTGTATAAAAATATATTTAATATAGGTAAAAAGCTGCACATGGATTAGAGAACAAACGAAAGTATACAATATAATCAAGAGAGTGAAAAAATTGAAATGGAAATGGTGATCAAGAAGAACTGATGGCAGGTGGACCAAGGAAGTCAAAGAATGGATCCCACGATAAAAAGTATCCACAAAAGAGACCTAAAACAAGATGGATTGGTAACATCAGCCAGTATAGCCAGCCAATTTGGCAAAAGAAAGTTTAGGACCATATTGTTTGGAAACATGCGGATGAGGCCTTCATCCTGCAGTGGATAGACAATGGCTAAAATGATGATGATTATAGTATTCTCATTCTTTTTCTAAGATTTTGTTGACCTATCTTTTCACTTTTCACAGACCTTGATAAATAGTTTATCCATGGGAGTGCGATAAGGTGTGTATTGCAAGGAAGACTTTTTAGATAAGTGTGTTCTCAGAAAAGTTAGAGAAGGAAGGAAGGAAGGAAGGAAGGAAGGAAGGAAGGAAGGAAGGAAGGAAGGAAGGAAGGAAGGAAGGAAGGAAGGAAGGTCCTCCTGATATGGGAAATGGGTGACTGGTAAGTATTTAATTGGAAGGTTGATTGTAATGTAGATAATGTGCTGGAAGGAAGGGGTCTCTACAGCAGTCCACTGAACAGCTTATTGTTAATTCTCTTGGGTGTAGAGTAAAGAACAATTTCATGCAATTACCTCTTGTTTCTTTGATCCCAGCTCAGAAACAGATTTGGTAAGGAA